CTAAGCAGTGTAGGGCGGTTAGCCGCCCTTGCGTGCGTGCTGCTGTCGGCCTCCCTGCTAGCAGCTCCTTCACATGCGTTCTACTTACCTGGAATGTACCCGAAGGCTCATGCTCCGAATTCCGTGATCAACGTCAAGGTGAACTCGCTTACGTCTAACGAGACGGGTCTTCCTTTCAACTTCTACAGCCTGCCGTTCTGCCGGCCTGAGGAGGGTATCCAGAAGCTGGACGAGAATTTTGGCGAGGTTTTGGTCGGAGACATGATCGAGAACTCGCCGTACAAGTTTAACATGCTCGTCACGCAGCGCGCCGTTAAGGTCTGCGATTCCGGCCCGCTGAACGAATCTGACGTGGAGCACTTTAAGATGCGCATCGACGACCATTACCACATTAATCTGCTGCTGGACAACCTGCCGGTGACCCTGTACGCGTTGGAGGAGAATCCCGGTGACATTCTTACCGGATTCCCCATCGGCTACGTCAGCAACGGCCAGTACTACATCTACAATCACATCCTTTTTAAGGTTCTCGTGCACGAGTACAAGGAGACTCCCGCCGGCCTGGCTGGCATGTCTATTGGCGATTCCACGCTGGATGTGCTTCCGGAGGAGGGTCTCCCCGAAGGGAAGGGGAACTCAGGATTTCTGGTGGTTGGATTTGAATCAGCAGCGTGCAGCATCCGTCGTGTTCCGGATTCGTCAAAACCGCGCTACACTGCTCTGGATCCCGTGGACTGCTTCAAGACCGATCCGCAGCCCATCGCACCAGGCGAGACCATCGTGTTCACCTTCGACGTGCTGTGGGAGAAGAGCGACATTCAGTGGGCTAGCCGATGGGACGCGTACCTGAAGATGCGCAGCGACCAGGTGCACTGGTTCTCGATCCTCAACTCGCTCATGGTCATCTCCTTCCTCGCCGGCATGGTGTTCGTCATTCTCCTGCGCTCCGTGCATCGCGATCTGGCGAAGATCGAGCAGCTGGACAAGGAGGAGGCGCAGCAGCTGGCGGACGAGAGCGGGTGGAAGCTCGTGGTGGGCGACGTGTTCCGCACGCCCAACTACCCGGGCATTCTTTGCGTCGTCGTCGCCAACGGCACGCAGCTCATCGCCATGGCGACCGTCACCATCTTCTTCGCCGCGCTCGGTTTCATGTCGCCAGCGTCGCGCGGAGCGCTGCTGATGGGCATGGTGTTCCTGTACCTGCTGCTCGGTGCCGCCGCCGGCTACGTGGCCGCCCGCCTGTGGGTGACTCTTACCGGGCTCACGGAGGGAGCTGTGGTCCTGGCGTTCAAGGTTGCGTGCTTCTTCCCAGGCATCTGCGCCGTTGTGCTCACGCTGGTGAACTTCCTCCTGTGGGGCACGGACAGCACCGGCGCCGTGCCGCTGACGCTCTACTTCTACCTCTTCTTCATCTGGTTCGTCATCTCCGTGCCGCTCACCATCGCCGGCACCCGCGCGGGCTTCCGGGCAGAGCGCCTGCAGTACCCGGTGCGCACGAACCAGATCCCGCGCCAGATCCCGGAGCAGAGCTACTCCCCGTGGTTGCTGATCATCGGCGGCGGCATCCTGCCGTTCGGCACGCTGTACATCGAGCTGTTCTTCATCATGTCGTCCATGTGGATGCAGCGCATCTACTACGGCTTCGGGTTCCTGTTCATCGTGCTCGTGCTGCTGATCGTGGTGTGCGCGGAGGTGGCCGTGGTGTTCACGTACCTGCAGCTGACGATGGAGGACTACCGCTGGTGGTGGCGCAGCTTCTTCGCGTCGGGCGCCGTGGCGTTCTACGTGTTCCTGTACTCGATCAACTACCTGATCGTGGATCTGCACCGCATGCACGGCACGCTGTCGGCGATTATCTTCATGTGCTACTCCGTGCTGATGACGCTCGCCATCTTCCTCGCCACCGGCGCCGTGGGGTTCTTCGCGTCCGCGTACTTCGTCTACTACCTCTTCTCGTCTGTCAAGCTCGACTAGACGCACGTGCGCTTCAAGGTGAGAGTGAGGCAGGGTTGTGAAGTCGCCTTGTCGAGTAAGTGCCTGTGTGTGGTGATTGCGCTGGTGCGTATATTAGAGAACGCGAATGAACCTGGTGTCCCTCCTGTGCCACGCGGCATATTTACTTCTTTATATTCCTGGTATCACTCCCCGCCGTTTTGAGTTGCTAATCAAGTTCGGTTTTTTAGCTTTATCTTGAAAATCTTGGTCTATCTTGGATTTATTATGCTTAAGGGGGCTGCATGGGGATTGTGTAAGGTGATGATTTGCAACTAAACCTTATGAGCGGTCAAAGGAACAAGGATTGCACATGGTGTGACGCCAGGTTGGTGGTGTGTCACTGGCGGTGCTGTGGTTTTTCGTGAGGGTCATAGTGGGAGTTAGATGTGTCTGAATTACCACCGAGTGGTGGTATTGCAATCTCGTATTTTTTTTGGCTGTGGGCGGTAGCCAACCTCTCTTTGTTACCTGCCTGTGAATTTTCGTTCTCCCTCATTTCTGCATGATCGTCGTTTGAACCCCCCCTACCATTTGGGATTGTAATTCGTTTTTCCACCTAATGTGTGCAACCTTATTAACAGGCCCACTATTCAGTCCCCACGGGAGGTTGGCGCAAGACTTGTCACACAGCACTAGCCGGTCTCTGCTGGTTAGATTAATGCTGGTTCATGCGTGTGCTGTGGGGATGGGTGGGGGTGGTGGATGAGCATATCCTTTAGGAAGTGGCTCTTTGTTTGGTGGCGTAATTTGTGGTGGATTGATGGTGTGTCCTTATTAGTTACTGTGTTTCGACAAGATCTGGATTATTTTAAGGTTGTAGTTAGCACACTACTTACGGTATGTCAGTGGATGTGAATTTGGCATCATTAGGCTTATTACCAGATTCCACATCGCTCATCTTAGGGTTCCTTCACATTTGCAATTCCTTGTTGACAAAGAATTGCACAGAGCACTGACCTACAACCAACAGCCACATTCTGGAACCTCAGTGGGAGCAAGGTGGAAATGTGCCTATCCAAGATGTATGAAGATGTAGAGTGGAGGAGATAATAAACTTGCTGTAGCTTTTGTGTTTGCACGGTAAAGAATTACTTCATCTGGGCTCCCTGGACTGCTCTGACTGGCGCTTTTGGGTTCATCTTCCGCCGCGCTGGTGTAGGGCAATCGTTTTAGGGTTTGAACTTTCAGGACCAGTTGCATCGCCCAGAGGCGGAACGTCCAAGACCACGAGCTTGCGCCAATTATCAAAGTTTTGATGGTTCGCTGGTTTTCTACACTTGGTACCTCCCTGATGACGGTTCGATCTCTATGCAATGGTGTGTCGATGTTCAAACCGACGGTCCGATTCACATCAACTGTCTGCCCGTCACATGATGTTCTGCCCGTCCAGCTCAACTCCAAGGCCGTCGAGCGGGAGGAAATGCACATTACCTCGCGCCATATTTCTCCCCTCGCTCCCGCCAAAATTTTGGGGAGAATTCCGGGGATGGAATGGTTCATGGCTAAGTCTGGTTGCTCCACTCAGCAGAGTCTGCGTTCTGTCACTCGCGCCGGGCCGCACCGCACTCCGACTGTGCTGTGCTGCTGCAAGCCTAGCAATTACTTGCCTCCCCAACCAACCATTCCATCCCTCACCCATTCAATAACCGTCCTTCAACCATCCCACGATCCCATCCCACCCCCCTTTCCCCCAACCCACACATGTTTGCATGTGTGGCTCGCTGGACTTTACCTGGCTTTAGCCTTTTACTACCGCACTGCACCGCTCACCAGTCACCACCACCTCTGGCACCACCACCACTGGGCAATCCTTCTCCCTCAGACCGAGGGCTAGCCAAGCTATGTTCTGGCTTCTGCTCTGTTCTGGTGGTCAAAAGTGAAACCCTCTGCTTGTTCACAGAGCCTGCAAAACAGCACCGGAGTTACATGATACAGCCTTTGCGCAGGACAGTGGCACGCCCCTCTCGCTGTGATTTGGTGAAAGCTGCCGAAGTTGGGAGGAATTGAAGAAATCGATCGTTCACGCTTTTCTGTTCATTTCTGTGCTCGTTCGTTCGTGAAATTTTAGAACCCGCGCCTGGCCATGCCTTCGCGATCCTGGCAACCGTAGCACCCCAAGGAGCGAAGACACTGCAAGGCACCGATTTCGGTCATGTCGCTCGTTCCGCGGAGCGTCCTCGCGCATGATTCGCCCCTGTTTCCAGTTCCTGACGTGCTTTCCACTTCTGGACTCTCGACCCTCACCCACCCACGGCCATGGCGTGATTGTGCTCGTCGGTTCCGACTTCCCGCTGGTGCCCCCACAAATTGCGCTGAAGCATCTCTCTCGGCGTCTCGACACGACATTAGTCAGTGACAGTAGTTGCGCGTTCAGGGTCTCTGCTCTCCGGACCTCCCCAGCGCCCTCCAGCCCTTCCGCGCACCCCCAGCTTCGCCTGCGCGCAACCAGCTCCCCTCAATGGTTGCTTCGGTTGCGCCACCCGCGGGCGCGCCCGCGGCGTCTCCGGTGGTGCCCGCGCGCACTCCCGTGAAGGCCGGCGGAGAGGCCATGGCTGCCGGGAGGTCACGAGGCCAGTTACGAGAGGTGGAGACGAATGTGAGGGACGTAGCAAGAGACACGCGTGGCAGGGAGAACGGCAAGGGTAAGGTGAAGGAGGCGATGCGCGAGGAGGAGGAGGTTGGGAAAGATGCTGGGAAAGATGCTGGGAAAGATGCTGGAAAAGAGGTGGGGAAGGAGAAGGAGGCGGAGAAGGAGAAGGACAAGGAGAGCTACGTGCGGAAGGATCACTCGCTCGCAGCGCTCTGTCACAAGTGGGTTCTTGACTCAAGAGTAACTTGCCGCGTAATTCCGTACTCGCGTCTTCCTCGTCACTTCAGCCCCGTCTTATTCCCTCTCCCAACCACCTTCCGAGCCTCTCATCAGCCTCCGAGCCTCGCAGTTTCCCAGCAACTATCGCTCCTCTAGCCTTTCTGCCCACTCTCGTCCCGGACCCTCCGCTCTTCCGATGTCCCCCGCCCCCCGTCCTTCTCGCTGCTCCTGTCTATCGCTGCGTGATCTTAAGCCTCGTCTTTGTCCGCACGTCCCACCTTTCTCTTTCTCTCTCCGTCATCCGCGTTTCCCTGACGTACCCTCCTCTGCGCTGTCGTCGTTTCTGTACCTTGCAGCCTCCACCCCTCACCACCCCTCACCAGCTCTCACCACCGCTCACTGCCTGTCTCACTTTCAGTCCATCTTAGCACCTCTCACTCTCTCTCGCGCGCTCGCTCTCATCCCGCTCCGCCAATCACCCCTGCGCGCCAGGTTTTTCTGCGCCTACGCCGCGCGCCAAGGGGCGGTTGTGTCTCTCGAAGGCTTCGCCTCCTCTACTGGTGCGTCCCGCGCGCTCTCTTTCCGCCCGCCCTCTTCCCGCGCGCCCAATAGCCGCCCGCCCTTAACCCCCCACCTCCTTCCGCCTTCCTATCGGCCTCCGTCCACCCGCTTTCTTTCGGCCGCCCTCTTCCCCCCGCCCTCTTTTGATCTCCTGTCTTGCTTCCCTTCTGCCGTGTTCCTGTCCGTCTCGTCACCATCGCGTGCCTGTATTGTTCTATGCTCTGTGCTCTCGACCTTGTGCACTTGCCTCATCTCACCGCGCTCCCTTCCATCCCCCGCTCCGCCCTGCGTCGCACTGCTTCGCCTCCTCCCCTCCTCCCCTCCTCAGCTGCTGCCGCTGCTGCCGCTGCTGCGGCTGCGTGTGTGCGGGCAGGCGTGCGCAAGCGGCGAGTGTACGACATAGTGAACGTGTTGGAGAGCATTCGCGTGGTGCAGCGGCAGGGCAAGAACGAGTACGTCTGGCTCGGCGCATCCGTCCTCCCCCAGGCCATCGCCAACCTCAAGGTACCCGCGGAAACGAGAATCGCTTGCCTCACTCTCTCTTCCTCCGGCGCTCCCTCCTGCTATCCCTCCCGCGCCCTCCCCACCTGCTTCTGCTTGCTTTCTCCTCTCCTCTCGCCTGCCCCCCCCCGCCCCCCCCTCTCTCCCCCTCGTTTTCGCCCTTTTCGAGACCCAAGCGCTTCTCTTTTCCGCGTGCCCGCCTGTGCTGCGCGCCGCATTCTGTCTGCGCATGTCTTATCCCCGCCTCCTCTGCGTTCCCCCCTGCGCCGTCCCCCGTCTCTCCCGCTCCCTCCAGGCGCAGGCGCTGGCGTCTCTGCAAGGCGCACATGCGCCCGCAACTCTTCCGCCAGCGGCTTTCCCTCCTGCTGCTTTCCCCCCGGCGGCGTTTCCACCTTCCGCGTTCCCCCCTGCCGCGTTCCCCCCCGCGGCGTTCTCCCCCGCGGCATTCCCCCCCGCGGCGTACCCCCCTTCGTCCCCTGCTGCCTCCGCGGGTCATCTCGCCCCCCCACCGCCCTTCTCCTCGCCCGCGCACCTCCGCGCGCCCTCGGATCCCCCTCCATCCCCCATACCCCCCTCCGCGCCATCCGCCGCTACCACCGCTGCTGCTGCTCCCCCTGCTGCCAGTAATGCCATCAGCTGCTGCTGCTGCTGCTGCTGCGGGTGCAGGTGGTAGTGCGAGTGCAGCGGTGGCATGTGCAGCGGGTGCAGGGGCCATGCTTCCCCCGGCCGCAGCGCTGTGCACGCCCACGCGGAATGGCCGCGCATGCAGCCCGCTGCCCAGCCATCTCAAGCACGAGGACTCGCTGCCCGCGTCTCCCCTCTCCTGTACGTCGTCCCGCCCTCCTGCTCGCTCCACCCTCCCTTTCTTCCTCCCTGCCTGCTTCCCTGCCTCCTTCGCTCGCTCCCTCCCACCCGCCCGACCGCCTGCCTATCTCATACACTGTCACCTTCCCTCTGCCGTTTCCCGTGTCCTGCCGCCAATTCTTTCTCCTGCCGAGTTTGAGGTGCGGCAAGAACCGTCTCAATTCTTCTCAATTCATCTCCTGCTGCCGCTTCATCCGCCTCTCTCTTAGAGTCCGTCTCATAACTCTGCCATTGACCCCTCTCCCCTCGTTCCCTCCTGAACCCCCTTTCCCCCCTCCTTCTCTCCACCCCCCGTGCGACATTGTGTGAGTGCAGCGCCGGCAGGAGCGGGGCGGAGCGACAAGTCCCTGCGCTCGCTCACACACCGCTTCGTGCAGCTCTTCCTGCTCCACGAGGCACGCTCCCTTCTCGCCCCTCCTGCCCCCTCCTGCCGCCTCTCGCCCCTCCTGCACGTATTCTGCCTCCGATCCACATGGCTACCTCCCCTACGCATCCCTCCCCTCGCACCTCTTCACCTCCCACTTTCCTCTCCTTTTAACCCTCCTATTGTTGCCCTCCTCCCTTGCGTGCGGTGTTGTGTGGTGCTGTGCGGTGCGGAGCAGACGCGGCTGCTGTCGTGGGACCATGCGGTGGAGACGTTGCTGCAGGTGTCCTGCGACACACACAACCTGCAGAGTACGTCTCTCTGCTGCAACCGCTGCTGCAACCGCTGCTACTGCTGTTAACGCTGCTGGTAACGCTGCACGCGCTGCCGCTGCTACCGCTGCTGGCGGGCGCTTCTGCAAACGCTGCTGCTACTTCCGCCGCTGCCGCTATGACGTGACCTATCTCGCTTCTCGTTCCCGACCCGTTAGTCCACCATCCCTTCGCCACACTCGCCCGTCAGTGCACCTCAACCCTACACGCCTCCGTTCTCCCAACCACTCTTAACCCCACTCTGCTCTCCTTGGCCCCACACCCCCGTGCCTATCTCCCCCTCCCCTTTCCCCTCCCGACCCCCCCCCAGCCAAGGCGAGGCGGTTGTACGACATAGCCAACATCCTGGCGGCCATCTGCCTGGTGGAGAAGCTGCCAGCAGCGGCGCCCAGCAACAGCCCCTCCGCGCGCCCCACGTACCGCTGGCTCGGCACGCCCGGCGTCGCGCACTGCCTGCACACCATCGCACAAGGTGGGCCGCTCGCACTAGGGGGAGGGCGGGCGCTCGCGCTGGGGGGAGGGCGGGCGCTCGCACTGGGGGGAGGGCGGGCGCTCGCGCTGGGGGGAGGGCGGGCGCTCGCGCTGGGGGGAGGGCGGGCGCTCGCGCTGGAGGGAGGGCGGGCGCTCGCGCTGGGGGGAGGGCGGGCGCTCGCGCTGGAGGGAGGGCGGGCGCGTGCGCTGGAGGGAGGGTGCTTGGAAGCGGGGGGGTGGGTGGGACTGGGTGGTTTGGGTTAGGGGGTAGGATGAAGGAGGGTCTGGGGGAATGGAGGCAGTTGTGGATGGGATAGGGCGTCATTAGGTGAGGCTCATGGTGGCTTGATATTCTCCGTGATGTGACCGTACGCCTGCCTCGTCAAGTCCAGTCTTGTTGCGGCACCCGCCCCTCCTCACCCCTCCCCACCCCTCCTCACCCATCCTCACCCCGCCTCACCCCGTGTCGCCGCGCTAGTTCTCCAGACGTGTCCTGGCCTCGCTTTGCCCTTGTCTTAGCCTTTTCTGTCGCTGCTCATTCCGCTTTGCTATCTCCTTTTGAGACGTCTCAAAACCCCCTATGTCTCCTGTCCTTCCCATGTGTGTCCCTCTTCGACTGTGAATGTGCTTCTGCTCTGCGTTCGTCCTGCCTTGCCTGCTGCAGGTGCATCATCGCATCCCACACATCCCACAGGCTCAACGCCCTCTGCACCACCTGGTGCACCAGCCCCCACGTCCACGCCCCCATCACCATCGCCCCCGCCTCTGCCGCTGCCTCCCCCGTCGCCCCTCGCATGCCGTACTTTCCCGTCGCTCTCACCACAATCCCCACTTCCACTGCTTGCTCCTACCGCCGCTGCTGCTGCCGCTGCTTCTGCGGCTGCTTCTGCTGCTGCATCTGCTTCCGCTGCTGCTGCTGCCACATGCGGCAGTCCCATGCAACCGCCCAGATTGCAAGCGAGTGGGGCAGGTGGGGCATTCGTGGATGGCACGCACGTAGCTAGTGAAGGAGGAGGAGGAGGGGAAGGCGGTGGGGGAGGTGTGTGTAAGGCACTAGATAAGGCATCAGATCACAGAGACATGTCAGCCCGACAACTCATGTCCGAGTTTGCTGCTGTTGCGCCTGCTGCTGCTGGTGCTGATCCTCCTGCTCCTGCGGATCCTCCTGCTGCTGCTGCTGCCGCCGCTGCGGCTGGTGCCGCTGCTGGTGCTGGCGGTGATGCGGTTGAGAGGAGTGCCGTTGCACAGGGCAGCACAAACAGTTGCGCCCGGTTGAAAGAGAACGACTCACACCAGCAACCTGGCACACTGCAAGAGCCATCACTGCCACATCTAGCAGACCAGCAGCAGCAGCAGCAATCGTTTGCAAGCCAGGCCGTTGCACCATCGCTGCCCCCACGGCAGCCGTCAGCGCGCAAGCGAGCGCGGGCAGCGGAGGAAGGGGAGGCAGGGCGCGCGCGCAGCAAGTGCCGGGACACGGGGCGGGGCAGAGCAGGGCGCGGGATAGTGTGGGCTGCCGCACAGGCCGTGGCCGCTGCTGCTGCTGCTGGGGAGAGGGAGGGGGCAGCAGCAGGGTTGGGCGGAGGAGGAGGAGAAGGTGGTGGAGGGAGGGGAGGGAGAGGAAGGCGAGGAGGGAGGTGTCGAGAGGGGTTGAGAGGAGCGTGGGTGGGTGGGAGTGCGAATGGGAGGTCACCGTCTCGTGACCTGCCCGTGGTGCGCAACGGTGCATCCGCATCCCCCATCCCTCACTCCCCATCCACATCTTCATCTCCTTCTCGCTCACTCGGTGCGCCTATTGGGGGGATGCTCACACCTGCTCCTGCCGCTTCTGCTTCTGCTTCCCCAGCTGGTTCCGCTGCCACCGCCGCTGCCATTGCTGCTGCTGCTGCTGCTGCTGCTCCCGCTGTCAGTGCGATGCCTGTTGCTGCCTCTGCGCCATTGCAGTGTCTCACAGGCGTACCTCCATTGGATGACTCCGCTGCTGCCGCCGCCGCCGCCGCCGCCGCTGCCACTGCTGCCACTGATGTGTCGCTCCCGTCGCTCGCAGCAGCGGCCAAGAGCAAGCGAGGCGGGCCAAAGTGCAAGGCGTCACGCCTGCTCGTCTTCCCATCGCACCCTCACAACGCCCCTCCCGCTGCTCCCGCTGCTTCCGCTGCTCCCGCTTCTCCCGCCGCTCCTGCTGCTCCTGCTGCTCTTGCTGCTTGCAACGCCGCTCCCACTGCAGACTGTACTGTCTCCCCGTCTCCCTCGCACCCGCGTCACTGTCTGCCTAGTCTAGAGCAGGCCACTGCCTCGCAGCATCCGCGCTCACCATTTCAGCCCCTTGCCCTGCAAATGCAGCAGCCGCAGTGGTGCAGAGAGGTGTCAGAGCAGCCTGCAGGTGTGGAGCGCGGTGGAGTTGCTGCAACCAAAGCACCTGAACCGCCCTCATTTGCTCCTGCTGCGGCTTCTGCTGCTGGGTCTTTGGCACCAAAAGCGCAAGCAGCAGCAGCAGCAGCTGTTAGCGCGGGAGAAATGGCAGATGGCGCACCTGTCATGTGCCCAACTTCCTGGGCGAACGGACAAGGGGGAAACGACATGCTTCAGCAACCGCATCAGCAGCAGCACCAGCTACAGCAACAACAACAGCAAGAGCGGAGGCAACGCGTTTCTGTGAGCAAGCGGCGGCCAAGGGTGCAGGGCCGAGGGGGCGCAGCAGAGGGGCAGGAGAATGAGGAGCCTCTGACTTCTGGACTGGCGTGGGCTGGGCGGAAGGGCAGGGCAGGCGCAGATGGCGCAGGGCGGCGGAGAGTGCGCGGACGGGGGGAGAGACGAGGAGGGCGGGGGGATGAGTTGCGCCAGTGCAAGAGGCGGAAAGGAGAGGTGGCGCAGGCAGGCGGTAGGGACGGCGGTGCTGTTGAGGGGGAGGGGTGCGAGGGGGGAGGGGCGAGGGATGGAGGAGAGGAGAGAGATGCATCGGATGGGAGAGGCAGAGGCGGTAAGAGCGGCGAGTCAAGGGAGGCGGGGGTCACTCCTGTTGGCGTGGGTGGGGCGAGTGATGGGCAAGCAGACAAGAGAGAAAGCAATCAGGGGGACAGTCCTGTTGGGGAGGCTGATGGGAGCACACGTGAGGGGGTGCGAGGCGGAGAGGGGACAGCAGGTGCCAGGGTTAGAGATTGGATGGGGCAACTGCAAGGGGAAGCAGGAGATCAGTGTGAAAGGACGGGTGAAGGTATGGGTGTGGGAACGGGTGAGGGGATGGGTGAAAGGATGGGTGAGAGGATGGGTGAAGGGGTAAGTGAAATGTGTGGCGTGAGTATGCGTGAGCCTGAGGGCGAGCAAGTGAGGACGACGGTTGCAATGCTGCTGGGTGCTCGAATCGAGGTTCTAGCCCCAGCAGCAGCAGCTTTGACAGCAGCAGCGGTGGCGGCAGCAGCAGCAGCAGCGGTCGACTCTCCTGAGGCGTCTCAGAAGGGTGTTGGTCCAGCAGGGGCAGTTGCAACAGAAGCACAGGTTTCTGCTGGGGACGGGGAGAGAGGCGAGGCTCTTGGACCTTTGGGAACGGTAAAGTTGGCCTGTGGCAGTGAGTTCCAGGGCAGGTGTAGGCGGTTTGCTGTGTTGGCAGAAGGAGAAGGCGATGGGGATATTGAGGAGGAGGCACAGGGGAGGGTGGGGGACGAAGGGGCGCGTGGAAAAGAGGGAAGCAGTGGAGTAGGGAGGAGGAATGGGGAGAAGGGAGGGGGTAGGGGGGGAGGGGGAGGGGGAGGGGGAGGGGGAGGGGGAGGGCAATGTGGGATGGAATGTGGAGAGGAGTTGGAAGGAGAGGGAGGTAGCAGCAGCACAGGTGGGGTGGAGTTGAGTGAGGGGAGGAGGGAGGAGAGTGAGGGAGAAGAGGGAATTGGTCTAGAGCTGGGCATTGGTCGGGGCTGTGAATACAGAGGGACCCCCTCCGGCCCCACCCAGCAGCCTCGCGCCATGGACATGGGCATGGGCTCAGGCTCACTTGAGTTGGGGTTTGCCCTGCCTACTCTTGACATTCCTGTGACAAACGCTGCACCTGCTGCGGCTGCTGCTGCTGCTGCTGGTGCTGGTGCTGGTGGTGGTGGTGGTGGTGCTGCTGCTGGGTGCAGCGTACACAGTGGCACGAGCAGAACGAGCAGCAGCAGCATCGTGCATGGCACACCCACTGTTGCTGCAGACATGCACGTGTGTGCTGAAGCTGCCACAGCTGCTGCTGCTGGTGCTGCCGCTGGTGCTGCTGCTGCTGCTGCTGCTGGTACTGCTGCTGCTGGTGGTGTATGTGGTGATGGTGCGGGTCATAGGGGCTGTATGGGGCATGGGCTAATGGGTGAAGCAGCAGGGAGTGTGAACGAGGTGCTTTCTCCGCACTCGTGCTGCCGTTGCTGCTGCAGCTGCTGCTGCCACCACGCAGGCAGCACTGGCCGGTCAGAGACCACTGCTGCAGCAGCAGCAGACACAGGTGCTGGTGGTCTGGTCACTCCTGCTGCTGCTGCTGCTGCTGTTGCTGCTGCTGCCGCTGCTGCTGGTGCTACCGCTGCTGCAGCAGGCGAAAATGCAGGGGATGATTCTCACAGTGGGGTGCTGCGTCCACATGCATTGAGAGCGCTGGCTAAGAGAGAGGGTGAAGGGATGGGCAGCATTGAAGCATGCACTGGCGATCAGGCAGACTTTCGAATGGCTGGAATAGCAACAGTGGTGGCGGCTGCAGGCATTGAGGGAGCGGCAGGAGGAGCAAGCAGAGGAGGGGTAGAAAGGGACGTCGAGAATGATTGCCTGAATGCTGGACCATCGAGGAACGCTGCCGCTGCTACTGCTGCTGCGGCTGCCGCGGCTGCTGCTGCAGCGGCGGCGGCTGCTGCGATGGCAGGGGGGATGGGGTTTGTGGGAGGGCACGGGCAAGCGCAAGAGGCGGATGGTAGGCTGATGACGGGTGGTGGTGAGCAGGAGCGGTTCAAATGGGTGAATGGAGGTGGAGAAGGGTCAGGTGGAGCGGGAGGAGTGTCGGGCATGGGTGGTGGTGCGGTGGGGATGCCAGGGGGTGCAGGGGAGGGGCTGGTGGGGCTGCCTGCGTGGGACTCTGCAGAGTTTGAGGCAGTCAGGCGGCAGTATCCAGGTATGTTGGAGTCATTTTTGAACCTGTTCAAAAGTATCCAGGTATGTTGGAGTCATTTTTGAACCTGTTCAAAAGTATCCAGGTATGTTGGAGTCATTTTTGAACCTGTTCAAAAGTATCCAGGTATGTTGGAGTCATTTTTGAACCTGTTCAAAAGTATCCAGGTATGTTGGAGTCATTTTTGAACCTGTTCAAAAGTATCCAGGTATGTTGGAGTCATTTTTGAACCTGTTCAAAAGTATCCAGGTATGTTGGAGTCATTTTTGAACCTGTTCAAAAGTATCCAGGTATGTTGGAGTCATTTTTGAACCTGTTCAAAAGTATCCAGGTATGTTGGAGTCATTTTTGAACCTGTTCAAAAGTATCCAGGTATGTTGGAGTCATTTTTGAACCTGTTCAAAAGTATCCAGGTATGTTGGAGTCATTTTTGAACCTGCGTGTGCTTGCTGCTGCATGTGCTTGCTGCTGCGTGTGCTTGCTGCTGCGTGTGCTTGATGCTGTGTGAGCTTGTTGCTGTGTGTGCTTGTTGCTGCATGTCCTTCTCACTCGACCTAGCTGAAATGTGCTTGTTGGGTCCCTACACAATCCGCCAGCTTATTTCCCCTTGCATCACCCCATCCCGTCCCATGCCATTCCCTTCACATACCGCAATGTCTGACGCACCTCAAAGTTCCTCTCACATACCACAATTGCCTGTTTTCCCAACCACCCAACTCTCCTCTCCTCTCTGCCCCGGTGCTGCTCGTGCCACACTTCCCCTGCCATGACAAAACATCGCAGCCTTCTCGGCCTACTTTCTGGAGTTCTCCCGTGCGCTGCACGCCCTCTACAAGGACGCTCCCATTCGCCCTCCCGCTCTCGCACCCATCCAAGCACAGGGCAACCCCTCTGCTCCTCTTCCGCCGCCTCCTGCCCCTTGTGCTGTTTCTCCTACTCCCCCACCTCCTCCTCCTGCTCCACACCACGTTGCTCCCAGTAGTCCCCTACATACCCCAGAAGCCTCTCCCATCCCACCACCAACCATTTGTCCAACTGTTTCTCTTCCTCACCCGACCGTGTCTCCAAAACCTGCTGCTGCTGCTGCTTTACCATCCGCTCCCACCGCCGCTTCTTCTCCTGCTGCTCTTGCCGCTCTTGCTCCCATAACACCTGTGCATGCCTCAGCCACTGCCACTGTCTCTGACAGCACTGACTGCCCCAAAGTAAGCCCAGCAGCACCAGCACCCACAGCACCAGCACCTACAGCTCCAGCACCCACAGCACCAGCACCCACAGCTCCAGTAACACCACCGGCCACAGGACCAAAATCAGCTGCCACAGTTGCAGCCCCTGCCGCCACCACCACCGCCTCCGGCGCCGCCGCCGCCGCCGCCGCCGCCGCCGCAGCAGCAGCAGCAGTGGCGGGTGCCTCTGGTGCTGTGAGCAGGCCCATTACAGGGCATGCTAACCTGCTCCAGCCTGTTCCTGCCCGCCCTGTTCCCTCCAGCCCTCTCCCTGTGCCTCCACCCCCATCGCACTCTCCCAGTAGCAATGTGAGCACGCCTGTGGGGAGTGGGAGGCTCAGTGCTTTCTCTGCTACGCTTCGATCGTTAACCTCGCAGCAAAGTCCGCTGTCGAAGCAGGCCTAAAAACGAGTAATAACATTTTTGTTAGTGTATTTATATATTGCTATGAACATATGTTATTTTGTAGTAGTGTGTGCTTCTTTATATAGCATTATGGCGCGTTCCTAAGGCCTACTGTCAGGCAACCCCTTGTCAGACTCAATGCACGCAACTGATCTGACTAGAGGCGTGTCTGAACACCCAAACCCTGTGTGCAGAATTTGTGGACAATTGACTCGGATGGTTTGAAAGTTTTCCATGGATTTGCTGTGCCACTGTATGCAGCTTTCCCTCTCACCGATCCGCCAGTAACGGGTATGCACACCTTGGAATTGGTTTTTTTCGCGCCTCGCACTTGGCTAGAATGCAGTCTGATCTGATTATATGTTCCCCGCAGCGACATCATGGACTTGTCCGTCGCGAAGAATCTCTCACAACCGTCTTTAATCGCGAAACATCTCCCAGCACTTCCCACCGCTTCTAATCGATGCGCGCGTCGGATCTCTTCTTCTCGGCGCCGGCTCCTTCTAGCGCTCCCGCGTCGCAGCAACGCGCCGAGCATGGGCTGAGCCAATCTAGCAACGGACGGCTCGCTCGCGAGGACGGCACCGCGGCGCCGGAGACGCGCGGCGGATGCCCGGCGAGCGATGGCCAATCGGATCGCTGCTTGGTTCTGGGGCCTTCGAGCAGGTGCGGGGAAGTAGCTGCGACTGTTCTGCACATCATTTACTGCAAAATTCAGTTTTTTTTTTATTTATTTTTTTTTTTTTTTTTTTGGTCCAACCATGGTCTCTTGCTCAGCGAGTGATCTACATCGTCCGCCTTGCTTCGTCGCGTGCAGCGGCCTTGTCCCGGTCATCTCGTTTTTTTGCTTTTTTTCTCCTCTCCTGTTTTAGTGTCCATCGTACCTTTGTAAGTCTCATAATATCTTCCATGCTTCGTTCCGCCTCCTCTTTCCCCACAAACCCTTCCCCCCTCCCTCCTTTCTCCCCTCCCTCCTTTCCTTCCTCCCTTCCCCCCTCCCTCCTTTCCCCGCTCCCTCCTTTCCTCCCTCCCTCCCTTCCCCCCTCCCTCCCTTCCCCCCACCCCCCCCCCCAACACCCCCTCTTTTCCTGCTCAATGCACGGTCTGCACGGCAGCGGGCTGGCGTCCGTGCTGCTGAGCGTGGCGTGTCGGCTGGCAGCGGCGCATCCCCGCCGCCCCGTCATCTTCGTCGCTCGCACTGGCGCCCTCGACGCCCACCCACCGCTGCTCCCTGCCGTGCGCTCCCTTGGATTCCCTTTCTACTCGGTTTTCACGAGCTACTTAGCATGCCACTATACCTATGTCTACCGACTCGCCCTTACATCCATCACATGCCATCCATAATCTTTCTCAATTCTCTTCCCGTGTGCTCGCCTCACTGCTCTACTCCCTCCAGGGTCTCTCACCCTCGTCCCCCCTCCTCCAGCAAATCTACATGCGGTAACCCTCGCCCCCACTCTCTCTGCCTCTGATCCCCACTCTTGAGAATTCTGCAAAAGTGACACATGCAGTAACACTCTGCCTATTCTGCCTGCCTCTCACCCTCACTGCCTCGGTCGGTTCAATATGACCCATTCTGCCGTTCATCCCTGCTTCTCTACATTTCCCATGCCGTTTCTCAGCATAACACGCTTCCCAGACGCTCTCACATCTCAATCTTTATCTCCCTGATCAACACTTCCAAACCTAATTCCGCCCACCCCCGTTTCCCCCACTCTCCCCCCACTCCCGCACCTCTTCCATCCTCTTTACCCCGGTGCCCCATTCTCCCCCTCCCCCCCGCCTTCCCCCTTCCTCTCTCTCAGCTATGTGGAGAGCACGGAAGAGTTGCGGCAATTTGCAGCTGCAGTGCATCTCGCCACCTCACCCCACCCGCACTCCTCGCCCTCCCATCCACCACCACCACCAGCAGCTGCACCAGCAGCAGCATCACCATCATCAGCACCATCACCAGCACCATCAGCAACACCACCATCCCCTACCACTGACTCGTCTCCTGCAAACCCTGTGTCCCGCCAAGACCCGCCTACTGCGTGTGCAGCGCGTGTCCCCCCTCTGCCGTGTGCCATTCTGGTGCATGACCTCAGCAGCTTGCTCCGCCCTGACCTGTGAGTGAGCTACCCACGGGGATTGCTTGCACGGGTGCATGGCTGCAGGGAGCACGGCGGGTGAGGGAAGGGGAAGGGCGGTGGGGGATAGGAGAGAATGGAGGCTTGCTTTGGATGATGGACCCTGTCCTGATTGTGCTGTAGCGACATGAGTGATGGCATGTGTTTGTATTAGACATTACTGGCCTGACAGTGTGTGTGTAGGAGAGCATCAGCTGTGTGTCGCCTACACCATGTGTCTCCCTGTGTGTGTGTGTTGGCCCTGCCGGCTGCTCCCCCCTTGGCAGCACAGCGAAGCAGCGGGAGATGGAGGCAGTGCGGTCTGTGGCGCTGCTGGCTGATGCTGCTGCTTTCATCAGGCATGCTGCTCTCACCACCCATCACTCACCACCAAGGTTCAAAAATACGACCGTATTTTTGAAACGTTGCCGTACATTACGGTATTGTAATTTACGGTTGTAAATTACGTTAAAAATCGGTGAAACCTTGCAAAAATAGGTTTGTTTGAAAATACGGTCGTATTACGACCGAAATTTTGAAACCCAGTTTGTGTATGGAGAATTTCTGCATTTCCCAACAGTCACCATGATTTTGAGAAATTCTGTGCGCCAAATTCACTTGCTTGTGTTTTTTTAAACCGTGGTACACATTCACCTGGGTACACATTCACCTGGGTACACATTCACCTGGGTACACATTCACCTGGGTACACATTCACCTGAGCATCAAGGGTTATTCCTTGATGCCCACATTACGGCCAAATTTCAGCCCAACCCCCAAATTTTGACTGTTCCCCAACCCACTTGCCTGTGATCACTCCCCACCTTCCTGTGACCACTCCCCACCTGCCTGTGACCACACACCACCTGCCTGTGACCACACACCACTCACCACCCACCACCCTCCACTCACCACTCACCATTCACCACTCACCACCCACCACCCACTACCCACCGCCGCCGCCACCGCCACCGCCACCACTGCTGTGGCTGCCATGAGCGCAAGTGCTTTGAGGCGATGGAGAACATGCCACGCGAGCAGAGTGGGTGTTTGCAAAGGCATATGAGCGCACTGCACGTGCACACGTGCCATATCACTCTCACACGAGTTTTCTCCTAGAGTCGTGTATCCCACGTGTGTTTCCTCATGTCACCTGACTTGCATACTCTTTACAGCCTCACACACTGCATTTGACTTTTCTCTGCCTTCCACCTTTCTCTGCCTCTGCACCCGTCCAGCCAAGCAGAAGGCACAAGAAACACCTCGGGCATTGCAACTGCTGGTCTTTCATCCAGCCATACCTCCCCCAGCAGCAACACTACCACTACCACTGCCAATGCCGCTGCCACCGTTGCTGTCCCTCCTGCCACTGCTGCTGGCACTGGTTGCACGCTGGTCGTTACAGAGTGCTTTCCTGATGCCGCTCTTGATCCAGATGTGCCTCTGCTTGTGCCGTCACAGCAGCTGCCTGCTGCACCATCTGCAGCCCTGCCTCCTCGTGTTGCTGCTCTGCTTGCCCGCTTTCACCACCTCTTGCGATGGCTCCCCCAAACCTTCCTCTCACTGCGTACGCTCTCTCACCTGTAATCCCCCCCACCCACTTGTCAGTCTGTTGTGTTCGTCCTGCTTCCTTTTTACTGTATCCCCAGGAGCGTGGTTCTTGTTCTTAAACCCTGTTTGTATCACCCTGCTCTCTGTTCTGTTCCCCTCAACCATGATATTCAGCCACTGCGCATCCTTGCCAGTTTCGCATGCTTCCTCTTCAGCTCGCATCATCCCTCCATCCACATCATCAATCTCACCACCAACACGAGCAAGCACTTATGGACCGTGGGTTTAGTCTGTCAGGAGAGCAGGGGGTCTCATAGGAACAACGCTGACAATTGCTTAATCCTGTACTTGAGAAAAATGCAACAAAAAGAGCAGCTGTTTTGAGTGAACTAATAAACAAGGGCTGTTTTCCAGGGTATTTGGGTTTGTTTCAGAATTGAATGTTTGTGGAACTTAATGTACCCCCAGAGTAGATAGATTTGCTCCAAATGCTAAGCGTTGTGATGTAGATTGGTAAATATGGTTACTGCTTCTCAACAACGGATCAGACTAAAATCTAGGCTTGAAAAGAAAATCCGTACTTGATTTGTTTTGTCGTCACTAATGTATGGTGATGGCATTCTGTCGTTTTCCGTAGAGGCGGTGGTTTCAGGGGAAGTTGGTGGCGCTCGAACGTCTCACTCTCTGTTCTTGCCTTTTCCTTTCATCCAACAGTTGCTTCTCAAAGCTCTCCTGAGACGTAGTACGAATTTGTGGGCATCAGGAGACTGAAAAATCACCTGAGCGAAGGTCTGACTCATTCTTGCAGCGAGTTCAGCGACTTACACGACAAATGTGAAACGGATAACGAGGTTGCGAAACCGCAACGACGACGACGAATGTAGTTTCGTGCGAACTGCAAAATTTCCGTTGAATCTATTGATCGGACGATCACCGTTGTGCGTGCCGAAGCCTTACCGTTTCGCAACTGCCGAAGTTGACGACAGCGTCTGTTTTGCGACGGGCGGTTGGCGTGGCGATTCAATGAAACCGCAGGGCAGCAAGCGACCAGCGGAGTCGTCGCAGCACCTGAGATAAACACGGGCAGATCACATCAACAGGTGCTGCTGATGGCGGCGAAACAGAGACGACGAGATGCGATGTGACCGTCAGACTTGTCGCGTCCCTCCCACTCGCGCATCACCACCACAGCCAGTTGCTGGAGCAGCAGCAGTTCGCGAAAGTCAGCCTGAGGTCGCGCGCATCTGAAACTAGCGGTTGCGGAGCGGAGGTGACGGGAAAATGGGGAACAGTCGGACTTGAGCACAGCAAGTCAACTCAACCCTAGCGGCGCAGCAGTCAGGCCGTGTGACTTGCGCGAGAGTGTTGTGTAAGAGCGGGGAGGAGACCATCTCAGTCCAAAATAGCCAGGAGAGTGTTGTATTTCCGCCTGACCTCGAGCCGAGCAGCACACCCCCGTGCCCACCGACCGCAAGCTCCAGCCCAGCAGCCATAGCTTTCCGCCAATCCAACTCTTTCTTTTTCACCGCTCCTAGACCTGACTTTGACATAGCAGCGTGGACCGACATAGTGTAACTATCACATACGGCCCGAGCACCGTCCGTGCCGCCATGTCGCTTAGATTTTTCGCGGTCCTTGTATTGGTGCTCCTGCTGGGTGCATATGCCGACGCGGCGTCTCAGGCGTACAGAAGATGCCCAGACCGTCAAGGCCCGTGCCTCGCCTGCCCGACCACTAGTTCCCTCCCAACCATCGCCACCTACAACGGCGTGCAACTCGGCGGCTATCTCGCCCACCCGTCCGCCGCAGACAGCGGGCCGCAAGGCACGCTGCTGAATCCTGACGACACGAACACCGCGTACATGCCGATCCAGAGCTGCTGCGCCAAGTGCCTTGCGAACGATAGGTGTGCCTTTTGGCACTGGTACCAGAAGCAGGACACCACGGACGGTACGCTTCGCCGCAGCGCGTATTCCTTAGTGTCCCATTTCGAACCTTAAATCCGTGCATCGCATGCGTAACCCTTTTCTTTTTCTTTCTTTCTTTCTTTCTTTCTTTTTCTTTCTTTCTTTCTTTCTTTCTTTCTTTCCGTTCTTTCCTCATTAATTGAAGTTCTGGCTCTTACCTACCCTTCCCGTGCTGCTATCACTCTCGTGAGAGACACCGAGGCGTTCTTGCCAGCTCCTCGCCTTTTCTCCGCAACTGCCCTACTTAACCTTACCGTCCACTGAAACATCTTCCCCTCCTCCCCCGTTCCCCTTGCTTTCTTCTCCCCTCTTTCTCTCCGTCCCTACGAACCCCTCCCCTCCCCTCCCGCTGCCCTCCCGCCAGGTCGATGCGCGCTGTTCGACGACTCGCAGTGCAGCTTCGGCAACTACGGCAAGTTCCGCGTGTACTCGTCGATCAACATCTACGCCTTCAAGCGCTGCGGCTCTCCCGTCATCCCGGCGCCCGCAACCAACACGTCCTGCCCCGCCTTCTCCTGCGCCAGCTCCGCGCCCTCCGCCACCGCCAATCTCAACACCTTCCCCGATGCGCAGGCGGGGCGGATCTACGAGAGCTACTCGCCGGCGACCGGGCCGACGCTGGTGGAGGATAAGGGCTTGCTGACGGTGACTGACTGCTACAACGCGGCGAGTGACATGTGGCAACAAGACGTCAAGTACTTCACGTGGGAGCGCAGCTCCAACGGCCTCGGTGAGTGGCTTTTGCGTGCTGCCGTGACGTGATGTTGTGCTGATGTTGTGCTGACGCGTGCTACGTCCATATCAATTTGTAGGAATGTAAACGCGATTGTGTTTCAAGTTCCCCCTTGCCTGTCTTGCCCCTGCAGGTCGCTGCCGTTTGCTGTCATCGCAGGCTTGCAACTACCAATCACCCGATGGGAATGCCGGTACTCCTGTGTTTAGCCCGTCCGCGCCTGGTACCTACTCGTTTCTCGTCAACTGCTAGGCTGCCTCAACTGCTATGCGTTAGTCTGTAACGAGCTTACTTGCCAAGACGAAAAGCAGGTCTCGGTCAAGTGCTCTGCTAGTGCAACCCGTTAGCAGCACGAGTTTACTTGCCAAGACGAGTTCAGGCTACCGCACAGCAAAGTATGTTTCCGTCAGTGTGCTCGTCGTTTCACCTCTCCGTTTCACTTGCCACGTGGCTGAGAATGCCCTCCTTTGCTCTCCGCTGCAGCTCTGCTCAACCTCTTTCCTCTGCCAGTCCATCTTTAGATCAGGGTACAGCCATGTGTTTAGTGCTTCCCTTTTTGTTGTGACATGCATGCTGATGTACAATAATAAAACTGAGGATTTCTCATGTGTGGTGCAAACGCTGACTGGTGACACTAAAGGGGTGGGCATTGTGCGGAATTTGGTTCTTCGAAAGCCGATACATAAAATTTGGTGCTGACAGTTCTTTTTTGAGCGATTGAGCACACTGGTGTATATCCGCTTCCCATTCTTCGTGCGCAGCGTTTGCCATAATGGAGCGAATCATGTACATTGCAATAATTTGGATTGGGCCAGAATGTCTGTGAGAACATCCCTAGGTGCCCTTGTGAAGAGGGCTCTTAAAGCCCAAGACCTGAATTACAAAAAAAGGAAGGCAAACTGTGCACAGTTTGCCTTCCGAGCCCACAGTTGACTTCCCGAGCCTCTCTGGTTACCAAATGACGCCCCGCAAAGAACCAGAGAGTCGTAGAGCAGCACAAAATTGGTTGGCGAGAGTCCCAACCGCTCCCTCCTGAAGGGAGTAGGGGAAGGCAAGCTGTGCGCAGTTTGGAAATTGTGGTAATTCAGGTCATGCTCGACCACATAGTATCCACGTGAAACTCCTAGGTAGAACAGAAAGCCAATAGAGCCCGAGCCCAATAGTTTGGTAGGAAAAAAAACACCAAACAGATTCTATGCGATGGCGCCACTTTTCACTCAGCGTCGTCGTCGAAACCCTGCGCGACCGCGAAAACGTCAGTTTGCGGCGCATGCATCTCCTCTCCGAGGTCGATATTAGGTAATCGTACGGTCGATCGCTGCCATTTCCCGCGCATTCGCCCTATGTTTGCCTCAGCTATGTTCCCCCACCGTCCTTCCTTGTCGGCGTCACACCCTGCCACACACGCTTCCCCTCGTCGACGTCGCCGTCCCCCACGCTTCCCCCCACCGTCGCCCGCGCTTCTTCCCGCTGTCGATCACACTTCACTCCGTCGTTGACCACGCTCTTCCTCCCGTCACCCACGCTTCCCCCCACTGTCGCTTACGCTCCCACCCACCGTCGCTTTCACACTTTCCCCCACCGTCGCCCTCGCTTTCCGCCACCGTCGCTCACGCTTTCCCTTACCGCTGCTCACGCTCCCTCCTGCCTTCCCCCACGCTTCCCCACACCGTCGCTCGCGCCCTCCCCCACCTTCCCTCACGCTTCCCCGCACATCACCCACGCTTTCCCCCACCGTCGCGCTCGCTTCCTCCCACCGTCGCCCACGCTTTCCCCCACCGTCGCGCTCGCTTCCTCCCACCGTCGCCCACGCTTTCCCCCACCGTCGCGCTCGCTTCCTCCCGCCGTCGCCCACGCTTTCCCCCACCGTCGCCCACGCTTCATCTCACCGTCGCCCACGCTTCCTCTCACCGTCGCCCACGCTTTCCCCCACCGTCGCCCACGCTTTCTCTCACCGTCGCCCACGCTTCCCCTCACTGTCGCCCATGGCAGGTGGTGGTGCGGCTTTGGAGCAGAGTGTTGGGCGCACAGCCAGGGCAGCGCGTGCAGGCGGGCAGCAAGGAGTGCAGTGCTGCAGGGGGCTGGTTAGGGGAGGCGGAGCGGGGGAGGGGTTAGGGAGAGAGGGTGCAGGGTGTCAAAATAACTAGGCAAGAATGATTGAAAGGAGAGGAGTTTCACTAGCAGCAGTTGGGGTACATATAGCAAACCCTAATTGGGTTGTACTCGCTATAGAGCACCCCACTACAGGCTAGACAATAATAACATTCTGACACACCCCCATAGCCAAAGTGGGGTGTAATCAGTACAATGAGCAGGCATAGCTGTCAGAATGTTATTATTGTCTAGCCTGTAGTGGGGTGCTCTATAGCGAGTACAACCCAGTTAGGGTTTGCTATATGTACCCCAACTGCTGCTAGTGAAATCCCTCTCCTTTCAATCATTCTTGCCTAGTTACTATCTTGACATGCTATCAGAGCAGGACGATCCAGATGGGTCGATCCTGTGGGTGGGCCCCACCACCTGCTTCCGCTGCTCCTACTACTCTTTGTGTCGCACGCCCCGTGGCGTGCGACGGATTTTTCATCCCGCCGCGCGCTCGGGGCGTGCGGCGGTTTTCTCCCCGCCGTGCGCCCCGAGGCGCGCGGCGGTTTCCTACCGTGGGGAGCCGCGCGCGACCCCCCGCGGCCCCGATTTCCCGTCGTGCCGCCCTGGGGAGCCGCACGCGACCCCCCGCGGCCCCGATTTCCCGTCGCGCCGCCCTGGGGAGCCGCGCGCGACCCCCCGCGGCCCCGATTTCCCGTCGTGCCGCCCTGGGGAGCCGCGCGCGACCCCCCCGCGGCCCCGATTTCCCGTCGCGCCGCCCTGGGGAGCCGCGCGCGACCCCCCGCGGCCCCGATTTCCCGTCGTGCCGCCCTGGGGAGCCGCACGCGACCCCCCGCGGCCCCGTTTTCCCGTCGTGCCGCCCTGGGGAGCCGCGCGCGACCCCCCCGCGGCCCCGATTTCCCGTCGTGCCGCCCTGGGGAGCCGCGCGCGACCCCCCCGCGGCCCCGATTTCCCGTCGCGCCGCCCTGGGGAGCCGCGCGCGGCCCCTCGCTGCCCCGTGGTGGCGTCCTGGGGGCCGAGCGCCGTCCCCCGCGCTCCTTCCCCCGTTCCGCCCGTTTTTAGGGTTTGGGGGTGAGGAGTGTGGGGGTGGCAGCTATGGGGGTGCCGTGTGTGTGCGCCGTCCCCTGCTCCTCCTCCTTCTCCGTCTCCCACTGCTGCAGCTGCCGCTGAGGGGGGTGGATGTGTGGGAGCCGAGGGTTTAGGGTTTAAGGGGGGTGCCGTGGAAGTGGAGCTAGGGTGTCAGCAGGGGGTGTGTGAGAGGGGCGTGGGACGGTCGGGGGAGGTTGCGTGGAGGTAGCCGTCGTGACGCCAGCAGCGCCAGTAGTCCGGATGCCCTCGCGCGTTTCGGTAGCCCAGCGAGCCTGCTTCGCCAGTCGCCTGTGGGTCCGTTGCTCCTGTGTGTGCTCGTCGTAGCCGCGGAGCCAGATACTCCCGTAGTCCGGTGCCCTCGTGCGCTCGGTAGCCACTGTGCGCGCCGCTCCTGTTGCCCGTGTGTCTGCAGCTTCAGTCGGCGCCTTTCATCTTCTCGCCCTCACAGTTTCTCCTCCTCCTCACTTGCCCTCTATGATCACCTCTAGCTTTGCTTATAATTGTGAACTATTGCTATTATCAAAGTGTGGCAGCAGTTGGGGTACATATAGCAAACCCTAACTGGGTTGTACTCGCTATAGAGCACCCCACTACAGGCTAGACAATAATAACATTCTGACACAGGGATCCTCCTATCCCCCTTACCTCCTGCCACACTCTTACCTCCTGCCCTCCTCCCTTACTCCGTTCCGTGGGGCCCCCACAGTCGTCCTCCTCTCCCTCTCTCTTCTTCCCTTCCTCCATCTATCCCACACTCTCTGCCTCACTACCCTGTTTCCCCTTTCTGTTGCCCGTTCTCCCTCCCTTCCTCCCGCCCTCCCTTCCTGCCATTCTCCCTCTCCTCATCCTCCCTCGATCCAGTCCCCCTTTCCCTTTCCATCTCCCTCTCGCCCACTCCCTTCCTCACGCCAACCCTGCTCCTCCGTTCCGCCCATCCTCTCATCCGCCCATCCTCTCATCCGCCCATCCTCTCATCCGCCCATCCTCTCATCCGCCCATCCTCACTCCGTCGCCCTCACTGCCTCCCACTCTCCTTACACTCCCTCCCACCGTCACCCACGCTCCCCCCACACCCTTGTACCCTTCTTTCCTTCTCTCTGATTCTCCATTCTCCCCGTTCCTCCCTTATACCCTGCCACACTTTTACCTCCCTCACTTTCTCCCATCCGCCCTTCCTCCAAGCCTCCCTCCTCCCTACCATTCTCCCACCCACTCTTTCTTTCATCCTCCTGCTGTCAGAATGAAGAATGGATGATGCATTGATGTTGGTTGGGGTACATATAGCTAACCCTAAGTTTTGTACCCCCTAAGACAAACCTCACTATAGGCTACAACATTTGACACACCCCCATAGCCTAAGTGAGGGGTGTCTAGCAGAACCAAACGAGTACGGTCACAAGACCAGTCCAAGAAACAAAGCTCAGGGTGGATCACAACGTCACCACACAGTCTGAGCACAAACAACAGTGGCCACAAGGCCAGTCCAAGAAGTAACAGAGATATATAGAAAGCAAAGTAAACAGTACACTCAAGTCTAAGCAACACGAGAACCAGTGTCAACAAGGCCTAACTGCACACAGCACCTCGGACTCCACAAACTCAAAGCGAGCCTGTCCACGCCTCTGCAACTCTCGCAGAAGAAAGTACCTGACGTGAATGTGCTTCACTCTGCTCTCCAGTCGTGGCTCTCGACAAAGGAGAATAGACGCCTTGTTGTCAGTGAACAAGGTCGGTGCAGAGCTCGGCCGCTCACCAAGGTCGGTGAGCAAGAAGGTCAACCAACGCAGCTCCTGTGCCGCCATGGCACCAGCGTAGATCTCAGCCTCAGCTGTAGAGGTCGAGACCGAAGAGGAGCGCGTGGACCGCCAGGAAACAGCTCCAGAACCCAGGCTGAAACAGTACCCCTGAGTAGACCTGTGAGTCTCAGCGTCGTCAGCGTAAGAGGAGTCACAGTGACCAGTAAGTACGACAGACTGCTGCCCTCCAAGAACTAGCCCCACGCCTGACGTCGTCGCTAGGTACTTCGCCACCCTCACAGCTGCTGTCCAGTGAACAGGACG